TACCTTGTCAAAAAGCACATGAAGCTCGGCCACACCGGGGACACCAAACAACAGCCAATCACTGTGCATGTATATATACTTACATATATGTGCTCCATGCTGAGGCTGACGTTGTATTCTTGCTGCGTCTCCACTGCTGTTGGGCTTACACTTAAACTGGTTCTTTTTAGGCTGAATAATTTTCATTCCAGATTATTTGGTTTGTTCCGCCTACCTGAACAACCTTCTATTAACTGGCCACGGTGCTAACGCTGCTTGCGCTTATCTTCGGTAATTTTGTTGCATTTGTAACATTTTTAAGTAAGCTGTAGACACTTTTTACTTATCGCGGATTGGCTACTAAACAACCTACTTCATATGGTAATTTAGGGAAGAGTTATGCCACCGTATCTGTATGCATTATTGGATATACTTTATTTTATCTTGTCGTTTCAAGTGATTGGCTGTTGCTTGATATCATCGGTGTGGCCGCGCTCGGTGTGCATGTTGACAAGACGCCTCCCTCTCTATCACCCACCGCATAGTCCATACCGGCTCCAGGAGACAGTTGGTCGTTGCTGGAGGGGACGTGGTGCACAGGCCTTGTGGCCGTGCTAGGCTCGAAAGAGCGGTTGCTTGCAATCAGTGTGGAGCGGACTAAGGTCCAGCCACCGCCTTGTGTGCGCATTTTTCCCCAAACGCAGTGTGCTTGTGTTTCCCTGTGAAGGAGTGTGGTCCGGCTCCGTTGATGAAACATGGCTCTCATCCACACGCCTCCCGGTCTTACGCCATCGGGTTTACACTGGATATGGGGTGTGTGGTTGGAGCTGTGGGTGGTGCAACGCAAGCTACACATGGTCCCTCTGTAGGCGCAGGCGTCCTGTGGCTGACCACAGTGACAGGCAACTCCGGAACTGGACGCCAACCCTCCCCAAACACTCCTGCTTCATCTTGAATCTTCCACTCTTTACTTATCCTGTTCCGCGCAATTCTCGTCGTATTTCGCCACTTATGCTATACGTGTATATGCAATAGTTAAATAACATTTACATGCATAGGGGTACAATAGTTCATGCATCACCGCAATTGATTGACTGCATTCCAGATGCATTCCTTTCTTCTGTCTGTGTAGCTGTCTCTGTTCGTTTCCTTTTTCTCCCGAGTCTGTCACAGGTACGGCGACACGCACCCAAGGAATGGTCCTCCGTTTCGACAACAATACAAGGCACACAGTTCCTTTATTTGGACATGAGCGGAAAATTATCAACTTTGTTACAACTTACTAACCGGACAAATCAATCAATATCTTGCACTGATATAATTCTTCCGCGGCATGAACCACTGAGTTCAATTTACCTAACAATACCTCTTCCACATATCTCTTGACTGGAGAACTTTCGACTACGGAAGGCACATTCTCCTGCCAATACAAAGCTTGAACAGTCGGTCATTCTAAGCTCTTCAATCCGCTTTGACCGCTCAAATGGCCGTGGTTTCCCCTATTTCTAATCAATTTCACTACAAACCCCGGGGGATCTGCGATTCTTTCTTCGGAACGTATCCTGTCCTCCAAGACTTCAACATATTTCAACGTATATTCTTCGAGACTTTACGTGGTTCTGCAGATGATCAACGCATCATATCCAGAAAGAATGTTTAGTTCCTGCCCTACCGATCTGGCACAGGAGAGGACCCAGGCACGCAATGCCACGCGCATAACGCAGCAGTCAGCAGCAAAATGGGACTCAACTTGACTGCGAATAACGGAGCAAAATACGTTCAACAAGAAACATAGCCAGTTACAACTTGCCATTCATTGGATTGGCGGCAGTGTTCCAGGACTTGGTGGGTTTTCGCCTGGCAAGCGTTCTCCCTATAAAAAGCCACGAATGTCCGTTTAACAACACTGCAACGTGGCGAATGTGACTCGCCACCGAATAAAGTCACAGCCCATTACTTCACACTAGCAGCTCAATTAGCATCATCATACTGGATAGCTTGCTCTTCAATTATCTTTCAATGGATCACTCAGGATTTTCAATCAATTGTTAGTCGAGGTAGGACTGCGATATATGGCGGAGCGATTATGTCCAAACAAATGGATCCCAATCCCACTACAACTAAATCGTTCTTTCGCATGTTCACCATTGCATAGTTCCAAGCATGGACATATGAACAATTTTCTACTGTCACTACAGCTCCCATAAAACGTCTGTACAGCTGTACATACCTGATCATGCCTTAATTGCCGAGCCTCGCATAGCCGAGAATAAAATATTTATTTATTTATTTATTTATATATAATACACTTCAGCTAGAGGTGGGAACACCTCAGTTACTGTGCCGCAATACATGAAGTAAAAGAAAAATTTATATAACATTTGCATGCCAGCCGAGCAACCAGCAACTTATGGGCATCCTTTCCTTAAAGTTCCCAGCCCGATATTAAGCAACATTTTCTTATGTTTTGCACTGTGCCATAAAATCGTAAGTAGAATGGATGCTAAAAGGAATGGGGTGGGACAAAGAAATTCACTGCACCAACGCCACTGAGGTCGACCCCTCGCCATGTCAGCAAGTATATCCAGCCAAACGTGTTTGGCGTCTATTGGATCTCAACCAGGGAGGCGTGACGCTCCAACCGAGGCCAGCGCCGAATTGAAGACCTTCAATCATCTGGACCAAGTCCCCGCTTGGCCACCCCTCCTCTGCCTCCATCCACACCCCCGGTGAGCAACCAACGCACGTCGTGGAAGTCGGTGGGCTAGCATGCGTAACATCTGGTCGAACCATCGGAGCCTGGTGCGAGAAATAACGGCGCTGAGCGGTTTATTTCCTTTTCAACTGCCGTAAACAAGGCGTCGAGTACGCTCGTTACTTACGCGGTGTTCCCACCAGATGTGAGCCAAACTGCGAAGACACCGATGGCCGAACGTAACTAGCCTCTTCATGTCCGCCGATCTTAGGGGCCAGGTCTCGCAACCGTACAGTAAGTTCGAACCTGCGGCTGCATTGTACACTCTACCCTTCAGGGCGAGGGCAATGTGGCGCCGCCGCCATAGGTGGCGAAGTTTAGCAAAAGCACTTCGAGCTTTTGCTATGCGGTTCGCGATCTCGTCTTCGATCCCGAGGGCGCTGCTACCAAATAAAAGTAGTTGAGTTTTTGAACGACTTCTAGCTGCTCCCCTCTAAGGGTCAGCGCAGGTGGCGGGCCCTGCCACTCTGTCCAGCGCGGCTTCGCACGTCTTGGAGCTGTCACAGATGAGGGCAATGTCGTCTGCATATTGCAAGTCGTTCTCCTGGGAGTAGCTCCACACCTTCCAATTCATGTCCTGTAAAAACAACATGACTTCGTCAATGGCGAAGTGGAAGAGGAAAGGTGATAGCGGGCATCCTTGTCTCACACCGTTGGAAACCTTGAAAGGTGGCGACAGCTTGCCGTAAGCTCTCTCTCTGCCCGTGCTACGCGCATATAATGGTCGGATAATATTCACATATTTCTCTGGTACACCTTTCCTGAGCAGCCAATTCCAAAGTGCCCATCGATCAACCGAATCGAGTGCACATTGCATGTCAAGAAACAGGACTACGGTGTTTCGCCAATATGTGACAGTGCTCCAACAACTGACGCAGGGCGAAGCTGTGGTCGATGCAGCCGAGACCCCAACGAAACCCGGTTTGCTCGCACAACGCTAGCTTTCACGCGCGTCAGTCAGTCTGTGAAGTACTATGGAGGCTAGTAATTTGGGGGAAATGGTGCACAGACTAATTCCACCATGATGGCTGCATCCCGAAAGCGAGTCTCCTATGAAGCTGGGAACAATAACGGAGCCGCTCCAGTCGGTTAGGACGGTCTCCTGCTCCCATAGTTTCACAAGTAAGCTATCTAAAGCATCAACAGGAGCAGAGCCTCTAAATTTAAAGTGGGCTGGATTAAAACCACCTGCTCCTGCGGCTTTGTTTAACTTCAACAGTCCGATCTCACGTTTGAGTTCTGGGCATCAGAATGGAGCCAAATGACAGTCCGGAAGCAGGGCGATCCCCGCCCGGCGGTGTATCGATACTATTGGCTGGCGAGGATTTGGATGGTGGTTAGAGCACGCTGCCCACATATAGTGCTTTATCACGGTGTCGTTGGGGGAGTGGCGGCACTATAACGCGGCACTATATTATATACTGGCCATGATTATATTACTGGGGCGCTGCGGGGCGGGTGCCCGGATCGAAGTTTATTTAGTTATGTTTGTGGCATGTTTTGTTTTGCGGCCTCGGCCATCATGGGTACACTGTGTTACTTACTTCTGCATGCTGACTGCATGCGCTGATGCATGTTGATGCTCGTGCTGCAGCAATGCACGTTTATGATGACAGCTGACTGCATGATGCATGACTGATGACTGCTGATGTTGCTGCTGCTGCTGCTGTTGCTGACAATGATGATGCTAACTGCTGCTGCTGACTCTTACTACCACTGATCAAGCATGATGACTGCAAGACTCACATACTTGACATGACTGATCACACTACTCACTCCAATCAACTACATAATACATGCTGCACAGATGCACATGCTGATGCACTGCAATGATGATTTGATGGGATTGCTGATGCTGCTGCTGATGACTGACTGACTCTGCTGAGGACTGCATGCACGCATGACGCCGAAGCCGACACGACGCACGGCGAAGCAAGATGTTGATCATGATGTTGCTGATGACAAGTTGCTCACTGTTGCATGCAATGACTGATGATGATGACTGCATGATGACTGCTGATGATGACATGATGACTGCATGCTGCTGCATGATGACTGACTGATGCTATGCTGGATGACTGCGTGATGCTGCATGCTGAGTGCTGCAGACGGCTGACTGCGATCTGATGCTGCTGATGATGCATGCATGATGATGTGGACATGCTGAGTGCTTACACAGATCCAACCTCACTGATGACTGTGATGATGATGCAGATGCATGCTGACTGAATGATCATGATCACCTGCATATCACTGATTCTGATGCATGACTTGTGATGATGATGATGATGATGATGATGATGATGATGATGATGATGATGATGATGATGATGATGATGATGATGATGATGATGATGATGATGATGATGATGATGATGATGATGATGATGATGATGATGATGATGATGATGATGATGATGATGATGATGATGATGATGATGATGATGATGATGATGATGATGATGATGATGATGATGATGATGATGATGATGATGATGATGATGATGATGATGATGATGATGATGATGATGATGATGATGATGATGATGATGATGATGATGATGATGATGATGATGATGATGATGATGATGATGATGATGATGATGATGATGATGATGCTGATGATGATGATGATGATGATGATGATGATGATGATGATGATGATGATGCTGGATATGATGATGATGCAGATGAAGGATGATGATGATGATGCATGCTGATGACATGCATGAAGATGACATGCAGACATGACTGATGATGAATGATGATGCTGCATGCTGCATGATATATGCATGCATCTGACATGCTATCTAATGCTGCAGCTCACCTGCAGCTAGCAGCAGACTGACTGCATCATCATCATCATCATCTCATCCTCATCATCATCATCATCATCATCATCATCATCATCATCAATCATCATCATCATCCATCATCATCATCATCATCATCATCCTCATCGTCAGCATCATCATCATCATCATCATCATCCTCATCATCATCATCATCATCATCATCATCATCATCATCATCATCATCATCCATCATCATCATCATCATCATCATCATCATCATCATCATCATCATCATCATCATCATCATCATCATCATCATCATCATCATCATCATCATCATCATCATCATCATCATCATCATCATCATCATCATCATCATCATCATCATCTCATCATCATCATCATCATCATCATCATCATCATCATCATCATCATCATCATCATCATCATCATCATCATCATCATCATCCTCCTCCTCCTTCTCCTCCTCCTCCTCCTCCTCCTCCGCCTCATCATCATCATCATCATCATCATCATCATCATCATCATCATCGGTGTACTCTCACGCTGCGACCTAAAGTCCATTGACAACACGAATAGGCTGTACCAAAACAGCCTTCGTATGCTTTGGGCTCTCAGGCGCAGCTTTAGCACTTGGTCCGAAGATAATTCCATTCGCCACTTCGCCTCGATAATACGAACAATTCTGGTGTAAGCCACTCCCGCGTACTGTCCCATCACCCGGGGCGAAGTAGAAAAGCTTGAGCGGGTGCAGCATGTAGCCACCAGGCTGATTTCCAACTTACGAGGTATGTCGTATGATGACCGATGTAAGAAACTAGGGTTATAGACCCTGTCTTATCGCCGACGGAGAGTTGACCTCATCACGACGCACCGGATATTACATCTGGGTGATTACCCCCATGTTGAGACAACTAATTCATCTGCGCACACCAAGCTGCACGCGAGGACATCGGTATAAACTTATCGTCCCGGATTTGAAGCGGGTCGCCCATCAACTCTGTTTCGAACGCAGAGTGGTGAATGTCCGAAACGACCTGCCTCAGCATATAGTAGAAGCGAACACATTGTCTAAATTCAAGACGCTACTAGAGCAACAAGCTGCAGAGGCAAAGTACAAAGAGCGAAACGATAAATAGAAAGTTCATGTCCGAAAACGACGAATGATGCAGCTACACAGAGCAACCTCTACTCGCTGCTTCGCACCAGTTCTCAGTTCTCAGTCATCATCATCATCATCATCATCATCATCATCATCATCATCATCATCATCATCATCATCATCATCATCATCATCATCATCATCATCATCATCATCATCATCATCATCATCATCATCATCATCATCATCATCATCATCATCTCATCATCATCATCATCATCATCATCATCATCATCATCATCATCATCATCATCATCATCATCATCATCATCATCATCATCATCATCATCATCATCATCATCATCATCATCATCATCATCATCATCATCATCATCATCATCATCATCATCATCATCATCATCATCATCATCATCATCATCATCATCATCATCATCATCATCATCATCATCATCATCATCATCATCATCATCATCATCATCATCATCATCATCATCATCATCATCATCATCATCATCATCATCATCATCATCATCATCATCATCATCATCATCATCATCATCATCATCATCATCATCATCATCATCATCATCATCATCATCATCATCATCATCATCATCATCATCATCATCATCATCATCATCATCATCATCATCATCATCATCATCATCATCATCATCATCATCATCATCATCATCATCATCATCATCATCATCATCATCATCATCATCATCATCATCATCATCATCATCATCATCATCATCATCATCATCATCATCATCATCATCATCATCATCATCATCATCATCATCAACAGCAGTACATCAGCCATTTGAACTGATGCTTCGCTGCCATACAACCATGAGGACCTATGAAATAAAGAATAAGAAGAAGGGGAGAGAAGGGGGACTTACCTGAAAAACCTTAATGCCTAAGCCCAACATTCAGTGTCCAAGGCGCCTACACCTTGTGGTAGCAACATATCCGTCACAAACAGCTGGCTATCGTGCAAAGATAAGGCGGCATCGGCGAGACAGCTTCCTTGCGGCTTTCACTGCCACGCGTCATAATCAGCCATTACCCCGCAGATAACTCAGCACCAAACACACTTTAAACAGGCAATCTGATTCGTAGGTGACAACGGACGCGCAACTGATGTCC